CTGCGTACTGCAGACACCCTGATGGACCTGCACGCTGCCCAAACCAAAAATCCAGTCAGCTTTCCCCTCGTGAGCACTCCCCTCGCGGCACGAGGGATCCCGACTGGAGGCATGCCGCACCCGGCGCGGGGCTGACGCGATCTCAGCGGCACTCCCCAGCCTGAGCGCAGACCAACGTCCAGCCTCCCTGGTTTGGCGTCGCCTCTTCGCCTGAAGGTAGCGTCGTGCCAGCTCACAGGTTCGGAGCCCCGATTTAGGCATTAAACCAACAGCATCAGGTCAAACCATGCAAAAGCCGAATTAAACAGGAGCGAAAATGAAACTTTACAGCAGCGAAGTGGAGCAGAATATAGTCTTTAGAAGCTTCTCACAGATTCCAGAGTGAAATTGCTCTGCATTAAAGTATTACTGCCATCACACGGGCCAGGCTTCTGGTCTGCAATTGACTTTAGCTTCTAAAAACAACTGAGCAGAAAGAAAGAGCTTTGCAAACGGGAATACTTAAGTTTTGGAAGCTGAAAGGGAAATATGCACCTCCCAGAGAGGCTCCACCTGTAACAACACCACGTGGTGGTCAAACAGAAACCAAGCAGGGCAAGGATCGGGGCCAAGGCAGCCTTGGACACCTAGCAGGCTGTTTGAAAAGCCCGCGCCGCCTCCCGCCAGACCCCACCCCAGCGTGTCCAGCACGGACAAAGAGACCTCATCGGCCGTTAACGCTGCCTCCCGTAATCCCAGCGAGCGAGGCGACGCCGCTGGCAGTGCTGTCATTCCGCAAAAAGGGAGGATGGCAAAATGCCAGCAGGGACTGTGAGGAATAATATGCACTCTCCCCACGCACATTCCAAGCTCGGGGCAAGGGAGACAGGCAATCCAAATCATAGAATCATAGAATCATGGAATGGTTTGGGTTGGAAGGGTCCTTAAAGCTCATCTAGTTCCAACCCCCCTGCCATGGGCAGGGACCCCTTCCATAGACCAGGTTGCTCCAAGCCTCATCCCGCCTGGCCTTGGACACTCCCAGGGATGGGGCATCCACAGCTTCTCTGGGCAACCTGTCCCAGTGCTCCCCACCCTCTCTGTGAAGAATTTCTTCCTGACATCTAATCTAAACCTCCCTGATTTCAATTTGTACCCATTACCCCTTGTCCTGTCACTACAGGCTCTTGTAAAAAGTCCTCTCCCAGCACCCTTGTAGGTCCCCTTCAGATACTGGAATCAGACGAGCGGGTAAATTAAAATCACCCTGGAAGAAAAGTGACAAGCTCAGCTGTCCTGCGAGCATCCTGCTGCAGCTGGCTGCCACCAAGAGGGAAGTTGAACCTCCAGGAGGGGGTGGCATTGATCCCTCTCTCCAGCAAAGCGCGGTAAGAACGTGTTCTGAACACAAGCATCTCACAGGACAGGTTTAACTGCGGCACCTCGGCTGACCTAACCGCACGCCCACGGGGCCGGGAAACATCGCTCAGCCCCATGCACTCCGCATCCGCCCGACGAAAGAACTTACCGTTTAAGTTTCCGCCCGTGGACACAGCGCTGTTCTGCTTCTGGTTATCGTAGGCCGGCCCGATGTTGGCAAGATCCTGAAAAGAGGAAGGAGATGCGAGGTGCAGTCAGTCAAAGCTGCTGCCCAAAGCCCACACGCGGCGCTCCCCGGTTGGAGCGGTCCCAGACGCGGCCCGGTGCAGCGCTCGCTTGGCTAAGCTCTGCCCCTCTGACTGCACAGGGGCCAGTGGCAGAGAACCCCCTTCCCCCCGCACACTGCCCTCCCACCTCTGCTTACGTACTTGGTCTAGAAGTCCAAACTTGGGGTAATCCTCTTCCGGGTCTTTGCTCCCTGGGTCGGGATGCTCTTTCACCAAGAAAACATCTCTTTCTTTACACTAAAACAGAGGAGTTTTGGCCACGCGGGGTAAGATCGCGCCAAGCTCATTAACAAGTGGTTAAATCAGAGTATTTACCACTAAGTGGTCTGTACACACAGATTCCTCACCGCGTGACTCTAAGCCCAGACGCAGCCAACCCAAGCGCCAGGCGAGCGCACCATTGGCAGAGAATCCTCCACGGATTTGAGCTCCACTTACCATCGTCTTGACGATGTTATTAGGCCAGGTCATCTTCCCCGGTCTCTGCCGCGTGGTCATGCACTCCCAGTACTTATCGATAAAGGGGATGATATCCTGCAGGCAAACACAACCCAGCCCTAGCAGCGGGGGTCCGCAAGTCGCGCTGCCGGTCCTGGTCTGGACCCGCCCTCCGCGGAAACCACAGCCCGCGGGAACCCGCGACGGCGTGGCCAACGGCCGTACCTTGTCTTTTGAAAACATGGTTTTCGGGTGCTCGTCCTGCGTCCTCGACTGCCACGTCAGGTTGGCCAGAGCGCTGAGGCACATTTCCTTGAGATCTTGAAAACAGAGACGTACCGGCGCTGGAATTACGCTTCCCGCGGAAGAGCAACAGCCCGCCCGCCTAGACAGCGACCGCTGAGCGCGCAGCACCCGCGCGAGCTCGGGCAGCAAAACCTCCCAGGTCCTGCCCTACCTCAGCAGCTCTCGCAAAACACCTTTTCACCCCTCAGAAAATGAGAAGCCAAATATTTTTAGAAAAAGCCAAACAGGCTGGTTGCTAATACAGGATTTATGGTCATTTTTGAGAAGCTGCAGCAGAACCCTCCCGCCGCCTCCAGGTAAAACAAAGCCTCTAGGAGTATCTTGCGTAAAATTCCACTTACTTGCTTGTTTTCTTAGGAAATACGTGTTCCCGCTGTGATGGCAGACGTTGCAGTGGAAACTGTAGTTGGTCATGAAGGGCAGACACGACCTGGAAGAGAGCACGCTGGCCCGTGAGCGCTGGTGGTCGCCTCACCGCCTCAGGGTCAGGAATTGATTTTGCTTTACTACACCGGGTTAAGAAATCCACTATTCCAGGTTAACAAATGAATTATCCTCCCTCTCTCCCAAACCAGAAGTATCTTACAGCCTCAGCGACTTTCCCATCACAGGAGGTTTATCATGGGCATCAAGAAAAACCACGGAGTTCTCGAGAAAAACAGATACAGGCCAAGCGTTGCCTCTCGGTTCCGAGAGATCCTGAAGTTCGTTCGGCAAAGTAAGAGACAACACCCCCAAGCTCTGGACAAGGAGCTCCGCAGCTGAGTCAACTCACGTTAATTGGAGATCCAGAGCACTTTGTAGGGACAAAACCCAATCAAAAAGGTTAAGTTTTTAAGAGGCCTAAGGTAAGTCCCACAGGGGTTCCAGGCAGAAAGCTGAGTTTGCCCATTGATGGGAACAAAAGAATAATCTTCCCGTGAGTGAAAACATCTGCTGAGCCCCCTCTGCTCTTCAAACAACGCTGTCAGGCCTCTGAGGCACGGACCTAAGCCCAGGGGTGGCTCGGACAGCGCTGAGGTCTGGACAAGCCGCAACGTGCACGCGTAAACACTTCCTCCCGCGCCGGGCAAAGCTTCTGTTATTTACGGAACACGCCGGTTTCCAAGCGTCCAAGGACACGGACAGGGTCCTGGCCCTTGGCCATTCACACTCCAGATACTTCCAGTTCTGCTAACCCAGCGCTGAGCAGAGCTTACGTACGTGGTATCGATGCCGAACGTGTCCGCTGTGAACCACTTCGTACAGATGCCGCACTGCAGCTCGATCTCCCCAAGCTGCCGTCCGTTCTCTTCATCCACCGAGCCTGCCTGAGCATCCAAGACTTCGGAGTTGTCCCCAGCCGCTTCCTACAAGCAGAGCAGACCAGCAGACACTCCCAGACTGCCCCCATCAGTCAGGAAAGAGGCTTTGTGCCCTAACCTGCCAAGCTGGAGGGAATGCATTTTACCCCCTAACACACAGTAAGCCAGAACTGTTTTGTGGGTTCAGTCAGCAGATGGGTGAGGATTTAATTTCCAAAGCAGTTCTTTAAAAAGCTAAATCTGGAACCCACAGGACAGAAAGTCCTTCTCGTCTGAACCACGGGAAGGCGTTCAGATTTTGGCTTTTGAGTAACTACCTTCTCGTCTTGGGTGTCTTTGTCTTACCCTGACTCAGCAGTCTGGGAAAACCGAGGATGGTTATTAGCCCCAGCACGTCCGGCGTTGCAGACATCTATTTGTTGCACAGAAACGCTTCATTTTCTGAAAACAACCTGTACGCTTGCCCTGCTTCCACACCACGTGCAGCCCGTGGCCACCCCACGCCTTTGCATCGCCCCAGTCACCCGTGCGAAGGCACCAGGTGGCTACTGTCGCGGTTTAGCGACCAAGTAAAAATCCTTCGGGAAAATGCGCTGGTGGCAAGGGACCAAAAAGGGAAACGAAGGGGAAAAGGGAGAGTGCTAACAGCCTGGTGAACAGGTATCCCAAGGATAAGCCTCCACCCAACCAACAATGACCCACAAGAGGCAGGGACAACTTCCAGGGTCCGTAGCTCCGGCAGACCCACACAGACTCCACCACGAGGGCAGGGACGAGCAAATCGTGGCGTCTGGTGCCAAGGGCAGCCAGGGAACACCCTCACCAACAGGCTGCTCCTTCAGCTCTGGGCACTCCCACATCCTCCACCCATGCCAGCACCGCAGAACTCACCCCCTCAGACCGGGCTTCCCCCCGCGAACCCCAGCTGCCCGCAGCCACCTACCAGGGGGTCCTTTCCGTTGGCAGACTCTGTCTCCAGAGCTGTGGTGACATCGACCAGGGCGGCATCCCCCCTGCAAGGGCAGAAAGGAGTTCCTGAGAGGGACCCCCACCCTGGCGGAACGGTGGTGGGGTGCAGCCAAGCCCTGGGGCCTGGCATGGACTGGGGGGTTCTGACACGGAGTGGAGGGGCCTGACATGAACTGGGGGGGGCCTGGCACGGA